CTGACTGGCGGAACGGACGGGGGAGGGGGTGGGTACAGCTGGCTCTGCCTCTAGATAGGAGCCAGCTGTCAGTCACACAGCTGGGCGCATCCCGGCACAATTGTCGGGATCCGCTTCAGCTGCGGCGTCTCAGTATACCGCGAGCTACAACTCGCGGTATACTGAGCCTAGGGTGACGGAACGAGGCTAGTTTGTGTCCTCCCGTTACCCTAAGGAGAACTATGGGGGAAAGTCTTAACCCCATAGTTCTCCTTTAATACATTTCATAGCTGACATGGTGATCACATGATCAGAATCGATGTTGGCTGGGTTTATGATCCTTGCTAGAGACCAGGAGCTGTCTGTAGAGCTATGAGCATGGAGAACCAACCTGTGAAAGGGAATAGAAGTGAATGTTCTCTGAGCAAGGGGCCTCATGCTCAGGAACATTCTAGAGATCACGCTCTTAAGCCATTTAAAGAATACTTATTGTTCCAAGATGGAAATGCTTGAACATAAGACATATTCTGGGTGCCTGAAGGTGGGGCACTGGAAGGTACGTTAAGAGTTACAGAGAGGTACGTCTCAACGAAATAATACAAGAAGATAGTATGTTCCTCACCTTTTTCAGCTTCTTGGTCTTCATTTCAACCTCCTGTTGCAGGGATGTATACGTCCCTCTCAGCTCCACCGTCTCCTCATCCCGAACTAGCATCTGTTGCAGAATCTCGCGCTCTCGTCTTTTCTGTACAGTGAGAAAGGCACAATAGACACAGTGAGTGGATGGTGCTATAATGAGCATTTCTCATGTCTAGTAGGTGTATCGCTCTGCATGTTTCTTGGGGTTCCATTCATTTCAACAGAGGACGCTCTTGCTAAAGGCCCTACCCCTATCCCATTCCAACACACAGGGTAATTAAAAATGCTCAAATGACATCAGATGCTTTTATTCTGGCAGTATGGGCAGATTAGACCATGATAAGGTTGTCTATGGTGCACCTGTGGACACCAGCGAGTGAGTCTTATCTGGGTAAAGGGTGATTAGAGGGCCAGAAAACCTCTGAACGCTGATTTGTTCTTTTGATAAGCCGGCCCCCGAGGTGTGTGCAAAGCTCCTCCTCCACCTTTTCTATAGGCCTAAACATAAACATGCGCCCTGGTACACAGGTAAAAGATTCTCGAGTCTATGTCTATTGGCAGCTTTACACCTTTCAATCGACTGTAGAGAGCTACGGTGATGCTTTTTTAAAAGGTCAGCCAACCTATTACAGTTTTTGGAACATGGTGGAGAGTTCAAATAACTCTCCACCAATAACTCACCTAAAATCCTCTTAAATAAAGTCTCACTTGTATAGCCGGCACCAAGTTCTCCGGGAGCTCAAAAGCCTGTTGCTTATACAGCAGACATCAAGGTCTCTGGGAGCTCCAAAGCCTGTTACTTGTATAACAGGCATCAAGGTCTCCAGTAGTTGGAGCTCTGAACAGGGACAACTGATTGGAAGCCGATTAATCGATTATTGAAAAAGTTGACAACTTTTTCAATAATCGATTATAAACGATTATGTCGATTAGTTGTTGCAGCCCTACTCCAAAGCCTGTTACTTCTTTAGCAGGCATCAAGCTCCCTGGGAGCACCAAAGCCTGTTACTTGTATAGCAGGCATCAAGGTCTCTGGGAGCTCCAAAGCCTAAGGAAAATGCAAATAGCTTGATCCTCCCTCTTCCCACCTCCTGCACCTCACAGATGATCATTGAGAATGTCCATGATAAGAATGGGCCAAAAGTGAGGCATAGAATGGGCAGAGCCAAGCAGAACTTCAAGAACTGAAGCTACTATGTTCACATTGGAGCCCGGGGCTTTGGGGCTCTGCTGGAGCTCTTTGAAGCATTTGCCCATAGGTGCTGGCAACGTTGGGTACTTGATATACATGTGTGTCTTTACTTTAAGAGATTACACATGCACAATTTAAATCTGAATAGTTTCTTAGGGACTGGTGGTGATGAAAACTCTGTGCCAGGTCTACTCAACCGTTGCAACCCATTGGGATTCCCACTCTCCCTCTTGGATTTGATGTTATTTTACATTAGGGGAAATGTAACAGAAGGAGTGGAGACATCTCCACTATGGAAGGGAGAATTCACTACTGGACACCACAAATGGGTCCCTAAGTCCATTAGACGCCCAATAAAATTGAAATGTCCCTTCTGGGTTAAACAGAACACCAATGGGGCTGTATAATAATGCAGTTTAAAACCCCCGCCCTTCTACAGGGAAATGCGATCATGGAAACTTGTAATGAGGATGACACAGGGCCCCATATAGCCTAAGGTCAGCCATGGTGGATTATTAATAATACGTAGAGTCCTGGAAAACCCAGATGTGCCCTTCACCCACCTGCTCAGCGATCTCCTGACGCTTTATCTCCAGCATCTTCTGTTGCTCATTTGTGTGGTCTATGATGTTCTTTCCTCCAATCAGAAGCTTGCTCTCCATCGCCTGTGTCTCAACAAGAAGTACAGAACAGTCAGCTGTCTTCTTCATAGCACATAACTACCTATACTAGTAAGTGTGTTTACGAGAACATATGAAGAGAGCTCTAGGCAAGATGCAAGCAAAGGTATAAAACATCCACTTTGTACCTAAATGTGTCCACTTGACTCTAACAATTACTATGATTGAGAAATAAATAAAGAAGATACAAAATCCAACATGATTGCGTAGCTTGTCCTGTGCAGGGAGGTCTGAGTCATTGAGAAAAATACTCTATAGCCAGAAATATATGGAAACCTGACCATCATACCAAGCTTCATGGCCAAAGAATATGAAAACCCCTCTAAATGATGGAGTTCAGGTGTCTCCAAAGAAGGGTTCTCTTAACTCTACACCATGCAAAGACATTGAAGACAATTGTGCTCCTCTTACCTTGTGGTCACAGATTGGTGAAGAACCTTTTTGCTTCACCATGACTGTCCCCTGTGTTCAAAGCCAGCTCCATAAAGACATGGTGTGACCAGCTTGGTGAAGACCCTTTTCTGTTCCACCATGACCATGCCCCGTGTACAAAGCCAGCTCCACAAAGGCACAATTTGACCAGTTTGGTGAAAGCCCTTTTCTGTTCCACCATGACCATGTCCTGTGTACAAAAGCCAGCTCCATAAAGACATGGTGTGACCAGTTTGGTAAAGGCCCTTTTCTGTTCCACCATGACCATGCCCTGTGTGCAACGCCAGCTCCATAAAGGCACAATTTGACCAGTCTGGTGTGGAGAAACTTGTGTGTCCTGTGCAGAGCCCTGACCTCAACCCTACTGAACACTAGCCAGGTCTTCTCATCCAAGAGTTGTACTCAACCTCAATTCAGCTCTTTTGGCTGAATGGGAATAAATATCAACATATGCATTTTGGTGAAGGTGCATACCATGTTCTACCATGACCCCCTCCTCTATACAAAGGCAGCTCCATAAAGACATGGTTTGACCAGTTTGGTGAAGACCCTTTTCCGTTCCACCATGACTGTCCTCTGTGTATACAGCCAGCTCCATATAGGCATGGTTTGAGCAGCTTGGTGTGGAGGAACTTGAGTGTCCTTCACAGAGCCCTGACCTCAACCCTACTGATGAATTGGAATGCTGATTGTGAGCCAGATCTTCTCATCACAATGACTTACAAAGCCATTCACAACTCTGCCCCCGGCTATATCTCAAACCTTGTCTCAAAGTATCACCCTAACCTCCCCTCCGCTCTTCAAAAGTCCTTCTGCTTTCCAGCTATCCTCGTCAACTCCTCCCATGCTCGCCTCCAGGACTTCTGTAGAGTCTCTCCCATCTTCTGGAACTATTTACCCCAACCTGTCCATCTATCTCCCACTCCGACTACCTTTAGGGTACTCCCTAAAGACTCATCTTTTCAGGGAAGCCGATCCCACTTCAACCTGACCACTCAATGATCACGTTCTCAAACAATTCATCCGCACACAGCTCCCTCCTCATGTATCGCTGGCCCCTCCCTCTTAGATTGTAAGCCCTCAGGGGCAGGGCCCTCCTTACCATCTTGTCTTGAATTGTATTGTGATTGTAATGTCTTCCTTATATTGTGCAGCGCTGCGCACACTGTTGGCGCTCTATAAATCCTCTATAATAATAATAATATTAATCCAACATCAGTATCTGACCTCGGAAATGGGCCCACATTCCCATAGACGCCCTCTGAAATCCTGTGGAAAGCCTTCCCAAAAGAGTGGAGGATGGTATAGCCCCAAAGGGGGAAGGTGGTACTGCATATTAATGGTTCTGGAATGGGATGTCTAGAAAGCTCATATAGGTGTTATAGTCAGGTGTCCACAAACATTTGGCCATATAGTGTATATGAATTCTGGCCTGTGTGGTACACCGTGCTTACATGTACGGGTTGGCTAGACCCACGGAGCCACTAGACAGTGCTGCACACATAGCAAATATATGAACGGGGATATAAGCTGAAGAAGTCCCCGTTCCTTTCCAGAAACGGCACATTTCTTAGAAATTATTATTTTGCAGAAAGAATAGTTGAGACTTCCAGAAGAGGAAGGGGGGTCAGTCAGCAGGAAGTGAGTTTTGGGACAAACACAGATCTATAATCAGACAAAATAAAAAAGTTGGGCTGTTACTGATTAAAATTTTCGTGTTCGATTAATGATAACGCACATACAGATCCAACTGCATTGGCCTATACACATACAGCACGGCAATTAAGTAATAAAATGAACTAGTATCACACTAATCCAGCGCGTTATTAATCTCAGGTGCCCCACTCAATATGGCCGCCGCTTGAGTGCGGCAACTCAGAATAATAACGTGCTGGATGAGTGTGATCCTAGTTCATTTTATGATGTCATTGCCGTGCTGTATGTGTATAGGTAATTGCTGTGCTGTATGTGTATAGGTCATTGCTGTGCTGTATGTGTATAGGTAATTGCTGTGCTGTATGTGTATAGGTCATTGCTGTGCTGTATGTGTATAGGTCATTGCTGTGCTGTATGTGTATAGGTCATTGCTGTGCTGCATGTGTATAGGCCAATGCCTTGGCTGGCGCTCGTGCAGAACAAGTTTCTTGGGCAAACTCACCGGCCCAAGTGGCTCCGACGGCTAACGTCGACGTCACCGTACTCCTCCCCCCTTCCCTTCGTTAGCCGACGGAGCCTCTTAGGGACATCGACGTCACCGGACTCCTCCCCCCTTCCCTTCGTTAGCCCGACGGAGCCACTTGGGGACATCGATGTCACCGGACTCCTCCCCCCTTCCCTTCGTTAGCCGACGGAGCCACTTGGGGACATCGACGCCACCGGACTCCTCCCCCCTTCCCTTCGTTAGCCGACGGAGCCACTTGGGGACATCGACGCCACCGGACTCCTCCCCCCTTCCCTTCGTTAGCCGACGGAGCCACTTGGGGACATCGACGCCACCGGACTCCTCCCCCCTTCCCTTCGTTAGCCGACGGAGCCACTTGGGGACATCGACGCCACCGGACTCCTCCCCCCTTTCCTTCGTTAGCCGACGGAGCCACTTGGGGACATCGACGCCACCGGACTCCTCCCCCCTTCCCTTGGTTAGCCGACGGAGCCACTTGGGGACATCGACGCCACCAGACTCCTCCCCCCTTCCCTTCGTTAGCCCAACGGAGCCACTTGGGGACATCGACGTCACCGGACTCCTCCCCCCTTCCCTTCGTTAGCCCGACGGAGCCACTTGGGGACATCGATGTCACCGGACTCCTCCCCCCTTCCCTTCGTTAGCCGACGGAGCCACTTGGGGACATCGACGCCACCGGACTCCTCCCCCCTTCCCTTTGTTAGCCGACGGAGCCACTTGGGGACATCGACGCCACCGGACTCCTCCCCCCTTCCCTTCGTTAGCCGACGGAGCCACTTGGGGAAGGGGTGAGGAGTCCGGTGACGTCGATGTCCGTGACGTCACCGGATCTCCGACTGGACTCCCCGGAAGACGGCGGAGAGGTGAGTGTTTTCATTAGCGATCAAAAAGATTAACGATCAATCGAGAAATGAATCGTTAATTTGCACAGCCCTATAAAAAAAGTGAATTATAATCCAAGAAGACGAAGCAGAACAGAAGTTTCATTTTAGTAAATTCCATAACTTTCATCAAACGGACGGATGCATCATCTTAAAGTGACGGATCCCCTTGAAGTTGCAATGCTTGGATGATTGCAGTCCTGGTTCCAATCAAAGCCGACCACAAAGCCCGGTGATGAATGTAGTGGGAATATCTCCGAGGTTATCTCCTCCCGGGGGGGCGGGGGGGAATCTTCTCATCTCCTGCAAGGATAGCAGGGTCTGCGTGCAACCGGGACCCTGCTGTGCCTCACATTCATAATTCATGACCTCATAATGGAGAACGCATGCTGTACGCGTGTGCGTGTGTGTCCGGGGCACGCTAGATCTCAGGAACATGCCGCTGATTCTGAGACACCGGGGTGTTGGGAAAAAGCAGAACAAACCCTGAAATTCAGATTTCGGCACCAAGTTCTGGATGTTTCTTCACGTCACAAACAGCTGAAAATAACGAGCTTACCAAGTCCAAAAAATGTCTTTATTTTAGTTTTAGATTTGGAGTGGGAAAGTATTGGGGCGCCTGTCTGGTTTTTAATGCAATCCGGGGACCCCTGTTTGTGTCCTCCCGTTACCCTGAGGAGAACTATGGGGAAAAGCCCTGACCCCATAGTTCTCCTTTAAAGAGATTTTTGCTCACTTTTCGTCAACAGTTTCACCAGACAGGAAGTCCACAACAAGGACACAGACAGAGATCAAAATCTGACACGGACTCCAGCCTTCAATACTCTACTAAAAGTATATTTAGTTCTGATATTGGAGATGTCACCTCACTTCCTGTCTGGTGAAACCTTTGTCAGCAGAACAGGAAGTGTAGGAAAAGCTCAAAAATGGTGGCCCAGGTGGCAGTAAAACGTGACACGGGTTCTATCGCTTCCCCGATCTATTCCAAACTGATTGGAAAACGTTTTAGTGGGACATGCACTTTAACCACAAGAGAACACGTCACCAGCGGAACCCCTTTGTCATGTAGTGATGAGCTCAGGTTTGGACCAAACCCAATCTGGACCTGAGCTCCTCTGAAACCCGGAAGGAAGCTCCTTCTGTACTGCCCAATCAGCTGCAGGCAGGACATTGATGTCAGCAAAGGGACTGGATGTAGTGACTGCATTGACCTTATATGGCTATAGTATGTAAATGACATTTACCTTATATGGCCGTGTGACCATACAAGGTAAATTATGTCAGCAGAAGCATCCCGCCCATTTGTCAGCTGTAGGGAAAGCCCCGATCCGCAGCTGATTTGGCAGGAGGCCCATATAGCTTCTATGTTCAGATGAGCTCAGGTTCGGACCGGGTTCAACCCTAATCACATGCCTGATGAAGGGGGTCCTGTGTAGCCCCGAAATGTTGCACTTGCACTGATTGTGATAAATGTTTGGATTATGTGTTAT